ATAGATTACAGTATTTTTAATTATTTTGATTTTATTAAGTTAGGATTTATAAAGTTGAAGAGTTCATGTTTACAATATTCACTTGGCTTTCTTGGCTAGCAAAATCAGATTTTGACTCAAAGACTCAAAGAACATGGCAGGAAAGTCACTTTACAGGAGCGATCACCCTAGGATAATGATTCTTTGGTAAAATCTCAATGATAAAAACCAGTATTATTTTGCCACATGCATAGAAAATCAAATTTTTTCATTTTCGTGAAATGACAGAAAAAATGTAGAAATTATATTGGTTGTAGAATAGCAGCACTCAATATGGCGTGTTGTTATGACGATCATACTTTAACCTTCTCTCAACAACTCTTTACGACGTCATTAAGCTACAAGATTTATAAGGGTCTTCTTATTTTTAATTGGTCGATTGAATTTATACTATGAGACTAGTGAAGACTTCTCATCAATAGTCATTTGGGTACATTTTATTACCAATTCCTTATCGATTTTTACTTCTTTTTTTCTAGATTTTTTTACTAAATGTGTTTCCAAAGAAACATCACAAATAAAATGAATTGTGCAGGAAACTTGGGAATTTTTATTACATACAGTATTAGGGCAGTATTTCTTACGTTTTTTTTTTATTAAAAGTTGTTTTGTCAAGTCAAGCTGAGTCAGGATTTCTTAGAATGAAGATGAAATTTAAATTCTCAAACTTGGATAATAAAAGTATATATTCATCACTGGACTTAACTGGTGTCATTTATATAAAACAGAATCTCTATATAATGTGATAAATTCATAACACAACATAATTATTGAAAAATGTCTATAGTTTTAAGGATAAGAAGTACTTAGTTATGAAATGTTAAGTATATTCATTGTTAAGAAGGGGTTTCTAACCCGAGGGTGATGCTGAAATTGGGCAGGTAATGAGACGCTTTAGGGAGCATTATTTCATACAGTATTGAGCAGTAGACAGTAGAGTTTTTTATATAAAAATTGTTTGATCAAGTCTTCAGGGAGTATTGTCAAAGAATGTTATATACTCAGAGTTCTAAGTTAACTATTCATTAGAACTCAGTGTAAATCATGTTGTAATATTATCTCTCTGAGTAATGATGGAAGCGTAAACTGTAACATCTAGTATCAGAGACAAAAAAAAAATCAATTTTATGATGAAATTGTGTTAGTGATATTGATAAACTATAGTTTATTCTTTTAACAACATTTCTTATAATTTTATAACAGGTGGAGAGGATGAGGGGAACCTAATCTCACTCAGACTAACTTTAAAGGGACAGTGGACTGTGTAGTATATTTTATAACAATGATATTTATCATCATTACTATAGTCTCATCCACTCATTCAAATTTGGTTAGTGACGGGAGTTGGAGGCGGGGGGTGGGGTCTTAGTCTCACTGAATATAACAAATAAAGTCTTATTCACTCTGAAATTGTGATTCTTCAGGGTCAGTTCATTTGAATAATTGAACAAAACATTTGAAACATTTAGTTATTCTTTATTTTCTAATTTAGTTATCATGTTATAATGCCTGGTAAGGTAAAAGTATTATCCACATCCCTGATAGATGACTAGACATCAAGATTAAAAATGCACAACCTGAATTACTGTTGAGTTACAAAATATTTCAGGTTCTGTTTCAAGATATTTCTTATGAATAAAACTTCTAAAAAGATACAACTGTAAACAAAAAAATACAAAATATATGTTAGAAATGATAAAGTCCATATATCTTCTTTATCTTTGCCTATTTCTATAGGTTTTAAAAACAGATTAAAATTGATTAAAAATGCAAAGCATGGATTTGTAACAACATGTTTCAGGTTCTATTTTAATATTTCTTCAGAATAAAACCATATAAACTATAGAATATACCTGTTAATTGGTCGTTAGTGATATAAGAATCTGAAGATGAAAGTTATCAGTAGGGCGTATTCCTTGAGTTATCAGGAATTCCTGGAGGTCTGAGATTATATCAGTGTTTATCATTCTCAATGTTTTAATATCTTTTTAAAGACTTTACATTAATATCTGTTATTCACATTCTCACTAATATCACATTCTCACTAATATCACATTCTCACTAATATCACACTCTAACTAATATCACATTCTCACTAATATCACATTCTCACTAATATCACATTCTCACTAATATCACACTCTAACTAATATCACACTCTAACTAATATCACATTCTCACTAATATCACATTCTCACTAATATCACACTCTAACTAATATCACATTCTCCTCACTAATATCACACTCTCACTAATATCACATTCTCACTAATATCACACTCTCACTAATATCACATTCTCACTAATATCACATTCTCACTAATATCACATTCTCACTAATATCACATTCTCCTCACTAATATCACATTCTCTCTAATATCAAATGATGACGTCGCTATTAGTGACGTCATCAAACACTTAGTTTCAGTGTGATACACAAACCACTTCTATGACATCATGGCCAATCTCTCTTGTTTTCTGAAAATTGAGACTTTAATCTGTGCCATTCATTGATTTTTTTCCTTCAAGAATTCTCAACTTGTCTGTCCATACAATAATTATCCCTAATTTACACAGAGTTACGGCACTGTGAAATTGGTCAATGATGTCACAGTCAATGGAAGAAGCGATGAATATTCATGAATGAATATATGAATATTAATGAAATGATGACATAATGGAAGAATGAATGAAAAGTCTGCCATTTTTCTTGTGGTCATTCATCAAACTATTTTGGCTCCTAAAAACTTCAATTAATTTGATCTCCACTATAATAATGATCAGGCCCCTGTTTCTCACAAAAAATACTATAAAACTCTAATGTTTAAGAGTGGAATTTACATTGAGGTACAAAAAGAATTGATTCTGATATTCTTATAGAACAGGCCCAGGGTTGCTGTTTCATTCCTTGCATGCTAGTTCATTGACACTACTGCTTAATCTTCTAGAACACATGCTTTCTTGAGATTTTTCTTCTTGCTTTTTTGAGATTAAAATTGTCGACTCAAAAATCTTCATCAGATAGCTGATATAGTTATATTTTTAGCCTGACTGGTGTTGATATGCTTAGTCTTAGTCTTGATATTGTTTATTTATTGACCCTACTGGTGTCTCTCTGTGGTTATATTTGTAAACGTCGTGTCTCTATCAGATATTTTATATATTAATTATTGACCCTATTGTTAGTGATATTGCTTGAGGGTACTCTTTCTATTCAGGAACATTTTCTGTCTCCCTGGTGGTGTATTTCAACTCAACTTCACCAGCAGATAGTTAATATTGTTTATTTTTTTACCCTTTTGGTGTGATAAATGCTTAATCCTCTGGAACAGATCAGCACTTGAGCACCTGCTGATTCTTCTGTGGTTGTTTATTTCAACTCATCATTCCAAACAGATCAGCACTTGAGCACCTGTTTACTCTCTGTGGTTGGGTTTGTCAATTCAACTCCACCATCAGATAGTTAATATTGTTTATTTATTAGTGCTAGTGGTGTTGATATCGCTACAATAAAACAATCGAGTCAGTAGATTGACAGAAAGGATTTAAATGTCTACGTGTTAGAGAACAAATTAACTTGTCAAACTCTCGACATTCAAATAATTACAACCAATCACAAACTGTCTTACATTTCACTTCTCAATTTCCTTCACTTCCTGTTAATTAGCCAATCATAAAATACTCTTTCGTTTTCATTCACAATTTAGTCACGATATTCTCATCCTGTTACTAAAAATAACTTGGACTTTCTGGATTGAGTAACCTTAGTTTTAATCCATCAAAATTTCACTAAAGGTGCAGAATGAGGCTGACCTGAATAATTTTACTTTATATAGGCCTACATTAGCCATGTGAACTCTCTGAAAGGATTACAGTTGGAAATAGAAAAAAAGCACTGTCCTGGCAAATTTTCCTCATTGCACCCTGCATGGCATTGTCCATCTTCATTAGCCCACATAAAAAAAAGAAAAGTAGGACGTAAAACACATAAGGGCTGTAGATTTACCAAGAAACCTTTTCAGCATTATTATACCTGTATATTTTTACCTGTCGTGCGCTAAGCATGCTTAATGTTGTCAAAAACACCTGATGGTACTTCAAGTTTGAGGTCTTTACTGCTATACAATTATTGCTTCTGATTTTGTCTTGGTTTGGACGAGATTTTTATGTAAACAAAATTGTTTTGTTTGTACCAAATTTGACTACTTGTATCATGTGAGATCAAATCATGTTAACTTTAGATGACCCAATATCAAAGTTCTTTATTAAGTGTATAGTTATTAATGTGATGTCATCATCTTGTTACCATGACAACTAGTAATTATCACCTCAATAATTTACCGTCTCCGTATGATCCCAGGAAGTTATCCCCCCGCCAGCTCTAGACTAACACTGAGCCAAATTTCCGGACTTAAACCACTTTCTCCCTCAGACAAATTCTATAAGGCTAGTATTATGTTCAGGTCAGGCTGTTAAATTACTATCATGGTCTCCATTATTACTTTACCATCATCATTTATAAAAACCACAGAAATAGTATTAAGTCTGCTGGAATCTTGTTATAGTACAATCCTGTTGATAACCTCGATGAGGAGTGCTAGAAGGTTTTTGAAAATCGGTGAAGAATTCAGTTAAGAGGTTAATTAACTATAGATTAGCCACTTTTGGTACAGTGGTTTCCATGCTGAGTAGTTTGGATGAGGTGCCATGAGGTCTGGTGGATTCTCATAAAAGTGCAGTCTGGTGGAACCTCTAATGGTGGAATCTCATTATAGTGAGATACCTCAGATGCAGAGTGGTAGAAGGTGTTTTAACGGGACACGCCTACAATATTTCCTTTAAATGGTTATTTCAAGAAAACTAATTAACTATAGATTAGCCACTTTTGGTACAGTGGTTTCCATGCTGAGAAGTTTGGATGGGGTGCCATCAGGTCTGGTGGAATCTCATTATAATGCAGTATGGTGGAACCTCAGATGCGAAGTGGTAGAAGGTGTTTTAATGGGACAGGCCTACAATATGGTTTAAATGGTTGTTTCAAGAATTCAATTGGGAGACAAATTAACTATAGATTAGCCACTTTTGGTACCCGATTTCCATAATGAATAATTTGGGTGGGGTGCCATGAGGTCTGGTTAAATGTCATAAAAAAGTTGCCAATCTGGTGGAACCTGACCTGCACAGAGGTGTTTCAACGGGACAAGCCCACCCACCTTTCAGTAATCGTTGAAGAATTCAGTTGAGAGGTTGATTAACTACAGGTTAGCCAATTTGGTATTATGATTTGCATGCTGGATTGTGGTTAAGAGGGGTTCCGGTTTATTGAGTTGTTTCTTATTCAGATTATATAGTGATTAGGACTTTTAAAACTTTGTCTGTTCCATATTGATGAATGTTTTGGGTTAACAGTGGAAGCCTATCCTAGCCACTTGCACAGCGGTAGAGCCTGGTTTACGTCCGAAGGGGGGCGAAATATCTGAGATTGCCCGAATTTCTAACCTAGACATGAGACTTTTGCCTGAAAAACTTGCTTTCAGGGCTGCGAGGGGTGGCAGCTACCCCCTCTGCCTTTGGCTCCACCACTACACTTGCAGTTACATAGCAGAAAGAGTTGAATGTTCGATTTGACATAAAAAAAAAAAGAAAGAAAGATATTTGAGGTGATAAATGTTGTTAATTTGAAATTTTGGGGGGAATTCAAATACAAACTAATATTCACTTTACATTAATGTTTATTTTGAGTGAAATGATTTATACGTTCTGTCAATTCTCTAAATTATACTTATCAATTCTGTTTTCATCATTTGATAGTTTTCAACTTTAAAACCACCTGTAAATAGATGTTAATCTAATCTAAATGTCAGGTTTCTGATAAATAAACGTGTTGATTTTACAACTTCACAATTTGTCAGAGTTGTGATTAGAAAACAAACTTTATACTTATTAATACAATGTTTCCATTGATACACCTAGACCTTTGGTATCAGGATCAGTGAGATAATGAATTAAACAGACCTCAAATTCATCATAATTACACATCAACACCTACTTCTTACCTCCTTTGAAATACATTCTGTTTATTTTATTTCTTCAGTTTTTGGGTGGAAATTTAATGAATGAAGTTATTGATTAAGAGTTCAAGGTCATTCTGGTTTGAAGGTCAAAGTTCAAGGTCATTCTATTAAGAAAGTCAAATAGGAAATATTCAATTGTGGCTTTCTTGTATATGAAAATAGATTTAACAAAAAGTTTTTGCTACTTCTAAAGCTATGCACTTTTAGGCTACATTTTAGATAAATTAAATGAATGGAGTTTTACACCCTACTTTTTCGCACCTTTAGCATCCTCTCTTTTTTTTCAACTCTTGGGGGATCTGTAATGTGCACAGAGCCCCAGTTTATTGTCCCAACGACTAGACGCTTTTTCCATGTCAGACCCTCTGATCTGCATCACTGACAGAGGAAAACTTAGTTGAAAAATTCGAAGATGTCAAGTGTATTTTGAGTCCATAAAAATTTAAATCGCCTAGATCTATACACTGTTGCACTGTTTTGATTTTTTATCATTATCATTAAATTCTGCTGAGTGGGTGTATATCATTAAAGCAATATTTGATTTGTTCTATGTCAGCATATATTATATTATATTATCATAATACAATTTTTCTGGTTTTTCTGTTTTTGGTTTCATTTTTCTGTTTTTTTTCATAATTATAATATTTATAGGCCTAATAATTTTGTGTTTTACAGAAGTTATTATTATATTTCAGGTTTAGAAAGCGTGGTGAGAAAATATTACACAGTAAATATATTGTGATCTGTGTTATATTTTTAACTATTTCTGACTGTGCTCTGGTCATAGGTGAACTTATTCTTGATCTTTACTCAGTTAAAAGTAAGTAGCTTTTTAATTCATTTTGTCAAGTTAAGATGCATATATATTAGATCATCTTCACAATGTCAAGCTATGACAAACTTTATACTTATACCTTTACTGCAATAGCCACTATACTTGTATCACAGAATGCAGTGATTTGATTGGACCAATGAGAGCCCTGTACACTATGGTTTTTGTCAAGGCCTCTGATTGGCTGTATATGCTAGTGTACAATCCAACCAAATCGCTTTATTTACAAACTTTCATGATACAGATTGCGCCTCTGTGTATTTCACTCATTGGATTCCATGTCACCCCTTTACCTTAATCACCGTATTGTGTAATTATATTCCAGTGACTGCTGTTCTATAAAGCTGTGTCTATATATCGTACTCACAATTGCTAAATATCATTTAAAGACTTCATATTCTACACTGTATTCCACATCTGCCTGTACAGTAAAACCCTTAATCAAAACCCACTCCTCCTTACCACTCCCCTCCCCCACTGTATTGTGTATTTGTATATCCTCCACAGTAATCTGCCTGTACAGTAAAACCCTTAATCAAACCGAGGCCCTGTGTGCTACAGGCTGTGCACGTTAAAGATCCTGCGACAGTTGGAAATCCAAAAAGAACAGGCTAATGCAGATGTCCTGGTAAAATTTCTGCAAATTATTCCACTGTACAGTAAATCTGATCAGTGTAATGATATATGACAATTTAAACACTCTGAAACATTCCTGATACATTGTTTTCACGGGAAGAAATGGAGAAATAATTGGAAAGGAAGACACGAAACAATCTGACATGAACAAAGTTGAAAGGAAAACTACGGAGAGATCAATAGTAGCATTTTATTGCCGAACTTTTCTCTGGTAATCTGGGAATATAAAAACTCACAATATGCCCCTAGAATATAAATTACTGGAATTACTAAGATACATACCCTTGATATTGTGAAATTAAATTAAAATCTAAGAACATTAGAAATCAAAAAAGATGAGTTAATGCTTCTGTCCTAGCAATATTTCCCTCATTGCACACTGCACTTAGAATACACAAACGACTCCCATGTTGCAGATACTTGCAGATATATTTTATTATACTATCATTAATACTTTGAAACATCAGTCCAAACTCAAAAAACAAAATTTTAAATCACAATAATTGAAGGACTCAACCTTTCATTTCATTTGATCCCAATTCACTAGATTTTGATTTGAACATATTTTATTGACAAAATTCACATGGAATCAAACATGAATTTCGAAAACTTAGTAAAATTCTATCCAACAAGAACTACATACAATAATTTTTATTAAATTCAGATGAGGCTAAGAAAATATATTTATGATAAAAATGAAAGAAAGATAAAGGCTCACAGAACAATAATAAAAACACCCGCAGTAAAATATCAAAAATGAGAGTGAAATCAACGAACAGTTTACATCATTTATACTATAACACTGTTCACGCGGGAAAAATCCACATTCAAGTTCAAAAACGTTTAGTATCTTTGATGAATTTGTGTATAAGTGAACTTAATTCCTAATTGAGAAAATAATCTCAATTCACTTGATGAGAGACAGAAACAAGTTGATAAAAGAAAGAAGGAAATATATCTTAAAGGGACTGGTGCGCCACTTGGGGTTTATTTTGGTCTTGAATATATGTAGTTTTTAGAGGTACTTGAAATGTACGAAAATCACCAATTTCCTTTAAAAGTACTTCTATCTAGGAATTTGACTCACTTTTTCTATAAATCACAGAGTATCTTAAATTGATGAGTCGTCATTTTAACTTTCAAACGCAGATAATTCTAGACACACATGGATTTGAAGGCTCAAATTTCGACAGTGAGCTGTGATCATTATTGTTGATTAGCTGAGCTAAAAAAATTCCTGTCTTTAAGACTTAAGGAACGATTGGCAAAATAAATGGCACATCTGTCCCTTTAAAATGACATTAAGCAATTTTAAGTCTAAGTTAGAAACACAGCTTTATTGAACAACAATCACTGGTTAAAGTTTTATGGAATGTTTCGATGTGTCCCTCATCGTCCTCAGGAAAATAATGTTTATGATGGGAAAACACATCGAAATTTTAAAGAATTATTGTTGTTCGATAAAAATTGTGTTTATAGAAAGAAATTTATCAGGGTAAATACTTCAGATAGCGCGAGAATAAAATAATAGAATTACATCTCTGTATTGAAAACAATTTAAAACAATCTACATCAAGTTTCTGGCAGCAGTTATCTTGTCAATTTAGAAATGTTTTAAAAATCAATAGAATTATCAACACGCTAAGACAGAATTATACCAGTTGTGAAAGATAGGAATAGTTTGTTTCTAGCGACAGGAAACAGTTTTATGACATGTTTTTACATTAAAATCTTATACTGTCTTTTCTTGTCACGTAGTCTTCTTCAAATTCTTACAAATCTTCATTAAAATTGTTGTGAATGAATGATTGAATGAATGGCAGTGGCTTTTTTACGAAATGAATGAATGAATGGCAATGGCTTTTCTACGGAATGAATGGCAATGGCTTTTCTATAGAATGAATGAATGGCTTTTCTATGGAATGAATGAATGGCTTTTCTACGGAATGAATGGTAGTGGCTTTTCTACGGAATGAATGGTTGTGGCTTTTCTGCTGAATGAATGAATGAATGGTCGCTGCTTTTCTACAGAATGAATGAATGAATGGCTTTTCTACAGAATGCATGAATGAATGGCTTTTCTACGGAACGCATGAATGAATGGCTTTTATACGGAATGAATGAATGAATGGTTGTGGCTTTTCTATGGAATGAATGAATGAATGAATGCCTTTTCAACGGAATGAATGAATGGCAATGGCTTTCTACGGAATGAATGAATGAATGGCTTTTCTATGGAATGAATGAATAGCTTTTCTATGGAATGATTGAATGGCTTTTCTACAGAATGAATGGTCGTGGATTTTCTACGGGATGAATGAATGGCTTTTCTACGGAATGAATGAATGAATGGCTTTTCTATGGAATGAATGAATGGCTTTTCTATGGAATGAGTGAATGAATGGTCGTGGCTTTTCTACGTGAATGAATGAATGAATGAATGAATGAATGAATGAATGAATGATTGTGGCTTTTCTATGAGATGAATGAATGAATGAATGGTCGTAGCTTTTCTATGGAATAAATGAATGAATGGCAATGGCTTTTCTACAAAATGAATGAATGAATGGCTTTTCTACAGAATGAATGAATGAATGGCTTTTCTATGGAATGAATGAATGGCCTTTCTACAGAATGAATGGTCGTGGCTTTTCTACGGAATGAATGATTGAATGGTCGTGGCTTTTCTATGGGATGAATGAATGAATGAATGGTCGTGGCTTTTCTACGGGATGAATGAATGAATGATTGGTTTTTCTATGGAATGGATGAATGAATGGCTTTTCCAGGGCATGGATAATTGAATGAATGAATGGGTGTGGCTTTTCTACGAGAGAGGATTGGGGGAGGGGTGGAGGATATAATGGAAAAGAGGCTACCCCACTTACACATTTTTTATCATTTTACTGCGTTAAAGAATTGTCTGAGGCTCCTAGGGATAATTCTGTGACCCCTCCCCCTCACTTAAAGTTTCCTAAAAACTTCACTGATGGATGATTGAATGAATGATGGATATATGAATGAATGGAGGATATATGAATGAATGATTGAATGAATGAATGAATTTTTACAGGCAGTGAATTGTGCTATAGGGGATCATTAATGTATTCTTTCTTACAGTGGCGGAGCCAGGTTTACGTCCTAGGGGGGGGGCGAAATATCTGAGATTGCCTGAATTTCTAACCTAGTATGAGATTTTTGCCCGAAAAACATGCCTTCTGCCCCCCTTTGGCTCTGCCACTGCTTTCTTATTATTTAAAATGGGATTGGCCACAGTTTCACAGGTATAGTTTTAGAAATATGAATTAGTAGAATTTTACATCCTACTCTTATGCACCTAATTGGGCCAATGAAGTCAGGCAATGCCATGCAGTGTGCAATGAGACAATTTTATCCCTACTGTCAAGGGATCTTTAATGTGCACAGCCTGTAGCACGGGGCCTTGTTTTATGAGAGAGCAAAATAGTCTGTATACTTTGAACAGTTTGTTTAATTGGTTTTAGCTGTAATACCAAGCCATCCTTCTTTCAAAATACCTGAATGATGTTTTTTGAATAATATATTACACACAAAATGATAAACTGGAATAGATAGAGAACATAAATTTTATTATAAAATCTGTAGTTTTCAAAGAACAGGGAATTTGTTTTAAAATCATAAATCAGATGATAAGAAAATATTTTACTGTCAGTTTTTATTACACCTTGATGGAGTTTTTTTTTGTGATTGTATTAACCAGTCATGTATGACTTGATGTTAAAATACATAAAAAATGACCTTTTTATTAATTCTCTAATCAGCTTCATGTTAAAATATCTATCTGTGGAAATTGAATAAAAAGCCAATTAAATGTCGTGTAAAAATTTAACTCCGAAAAACTTAAATTTTAAACGATTCTACCCAAAATAAGTTTTTAATTGATTAAAATCGATTGGTAATTTTTAAACTGGTAACGTTAAACACATAGGGGAATCCATTTAGAAAGTTGTAATTGACAAGAGTGTAAGAATAGTCTGTTAGTTCCAGGAATAGAGGAGAAGGCGTGAAGTAATGAATCTAAAACACTTGTTCAACTTAGCCTATAAGAGTTTGTTATTATTTTGGTGTCAGGCTGATTGAGTTTGTTTTAGAAGCACTAACGCTGTCAGTTAGGGTACAGGGAAGAGAGGGGGACTCTTTAGATAATTGGTTTTTACCCCTATCTGCATCCCCACTTCATTACTAACAAAAATCAAAATAAAAAAAAAATTTTCACCCTTTCTACAAAATATGTGCCGTTCTATTTTTCAAAAATTTTCTTTGGGAAAACTATCTTAGTTTGCTCCAAGGAAGGCTGGTATTTATGACACTTC